GGGATTAAACGTTTTAATGGTACCAAACCTTCTTCCATTTCTGAAACAATAGTATAACATCACAACATAGAAAAACACACTATAAAATATCAATTGGAAGGCTTAACTCAATAAAAAAACGTTAATTAACACACAATGAACGAATAGATTTTGACCTGTGACACCTGAATGCAAATACACAGTTAATAAAAAAATACAAGGGATAAATAATTAAAGTCAAAAGTAAATAAACAGGTTTAATATACATTTATATAATTTGTTGTTGTTACGTTGAGTGTAAAATAAGATTGTTACAGATATGGGTTTTCTTCGGTCTCAATTGCTAATGAACAAAATTTAATGCCAATTTTTTTTCAAAAATTTCTTAACATAACCAAGAAAATCTTTAAAAAAATGACTAATTAACCAAATCTCCACTTTTTATGATATTATTATGTGGTTGATTTATTACAGTATAAAAGTAAAATGTGGTATTATTGCTGACAACTATCAACTAGAGACCGATAGGCGTGGATGAAAGCAACTATAGGTCACCACAAAGGCTTCAGTGTATAAAATGTGCGAATCCTTAAAATGCCATTTTTACTGTTACAGTATCCGTTATCTAATGTAGAATGATAAATAAACAGACGACAAATTCATGATTTTTGAATAAAATAAGAAATAATATATAATGTGTACTGTTTTTATAAATTCATGATATAGGTATGAGATGCGGACGGGTTTTCATCGCGTCTACAGCCATCCAGGTGTAAAGTTGATACACAAATAGACAAATATTAAGCATAGTTCACGAACAGAGCGTGCAAGAGATTTAATAGTAGTACTTAAGTTTCATTTGCAGAAAAATGCACCTTTTAACATAATTATTAATGTTGTACAACTTAAAACAGGTTTTGTTATTCAGCTTGTTGATATTGAATTAAATTCCACTATGCTGCTTTCGTTATGCGATTCATGTTTACTGTCGAAAAATGATACTAAACTTTCATTTTCACTGTAGGGGCGATTCATTTCTATTGTACATGAGATGCATTTTCACAGAAGGAAATTAATTAATTTTCATCATATAAAGTCTTAATTCAGCCGACTCTCTAACAAAATTTACGAAGTCAGAAGGAATGATTAAATATGCATACTCAGTGAGTGAAAGTCTGAGGTAATATATCAATAACTTCCGTAAAAATGGCATTTATTGCTAATATAATCATTCTATTTTCTCTAATAATTTGTCCAGATCCAGATCTATATGTAGGATAAAATGTATCCTTTTCTATGACACGCCGTCATTGAATACATGTATCTTAAACAGTTTAGCCAATCCACGTCACCGAAAAAGCAAAGTTTTCGGTTTCGGTCTAAAACTACATCACATACTAATAAAACGTCATTAGAGCTATTTTCCTAATTCTTGTAGTTTAAAGGTGTAGTTGGCTTGCTTGCTTTGTTTGTATAAATGTTTGCTTAAGCATTGTTAAGATTGAGCAAACATTTATACAAACGAAGCAAGCAAGCCAACCAAACCTTTAAACTACAAGCATTAGTAAAGTAGCTCTAATGGATGCATCTTGGATAACAAAGAGCAGTCACAAAACGATCTTCATTTCACGATTGATTGAGTGGTAACGTTTTCATATCGAACAAACAATTGCCTTACATTTGTCGCTTAATTGATATTATCTATCATGCCATTATGTATACATATTATACAGTAAAGAAAGTTCGAGAAACAATCGAGTCACCTTAATTTATGTTTGAATTTCTTATAAATCGTTGTTACAAATAAGCAAATACGTAATTGTAAGAATACAAGGATATATTGAATACAGTTTATTGTTACATGTTTAAATGGTTCTATACCACGGGGTTTAACCGCCGTAAAGTTGATTCCGGAAGTTAATCGCTGCATCGCGAAGCGATGTAGTGCAGTAGACCGTCCTAATATTTTCACCAAAGACTAATTGACGTACTGTTCAGTTAAGTATTCAATGTTTATGAAAACAAATTTTCATGCTCCTGACAGCAATTTATATATTATTTATATTACATGAACACCCTGTGCATGACTATTTTAAATAGACAAGTCTGTGAATTACTTGTAAACATCGCGAAACAAACACTCTGTGTAACTTAAACTTGATTAAACTACAAATAGAGCATAGTTGGTTGGCTCTTACACTAAATGCGACCGTGTATATTGCGATTTGTTGTTGTTTAAAATACATAATCCGAATGAGAAACCCGTTGTTTTATTTTATTTGCAGACATTTACTTGAAAAACTGACCTCAGAATTTTGGCACTGTATGATTCATTCTCTTTGTAGTTTGTTTGCTTTCTTTAGTACCGTTCGTTGTACATTCTTGTACTGTTCGTTGTGCAAAAACCTATCAATATGGTAGAAATATGAAACGGCGTGACAAATTTTCAATTAAGCGAGTACTAAAACTTTTCAAGGAAAATTCGCCATAAAAATGCGTTATATTAATGGATCTTCTGCTCCAGAAAATCTCGGATCCATGACACACTAATAGCAAACTCACCAAAAATATTTGAATATGCATGATATGAACGTGTATCACCTTAAGGCGATGTGACGCATATCACCCTAACCTTCGTGTGAGCTTGATCTTTGACCTCAAAATGAAAATGCTGGATTTCTAAGAAACTGGATTGCAATCAGGCGCTCCCGATGAGTGGGCTTCTCTAGCTCGACTTAGTTCTGTTTCACGTCACACACATACAAAATTCAGGTTGTTTTAATCTTCAATATGAAATGTTAGAAATGTCAAATAGTTTTAGTAGTTGCAAATGCTTGCTAACAAATTAAAAAATAAAAGATAGGCATTTCAATAGAAACAGCTAATTATGTTCTCGATGTTTTACTCACGAACGGTACAGAACTATGACGAAAACACGCAACGAACGTACAGAAAAAAATCGACGAAAGGTACACAACGCACAACGTCCGGAATCAACCATACGTTGGTTATACCCATGTATATTCAAGTAAGCATCTTCGACTACCTTGAATTTCAAATTGTAAATATCATCAATATTAAAGTCATTTAAAGCCTATTTTCAGTTGTTGTATGTCGAATTATCATATAAAACAACAATGAAAATTCATCGCACCTCCAAAAATTCCACATCAGAAATGATTGCACTTACAGTGATAATGCATCGCATTTATAGTTAAAATGAATCGCATTCAGTAAACAATATTATGGATTCAGCTGCTTTAATTACACTTTTTTGGACCTTAATTCTGTTATTATATATTAAAAAGTTGTATTCTATTGAAATTTTGTTAAAACATACATTCAAATCAATTATTTTATATTTTCAAAAAGTAAACATCCGCAGTTTTTCCATCATCCTTTATTCTACAATAGACATACTCGCATACGACAGTGAAAATGAACTAACTGGATTCACACTTTATATACACTGGGATTTAATAAGGAACAAAACCCATACCGTATACTAGTTGAAAACGTGAAACAATTCAAACGAGAACACCAACGACCTCATTTGTGCTTAAACAATAAATGGAAAACAAATGGGACAGACAGCAACGAACGAGAACCCCTTAATTACAATGCTCCTGACTTGGGACAGGAGCACAAACAATGTATTACGATTATCCATTCAGATCTAGAACATCAAACGTGTACATGTATAGTTTTGGTTGCTTGTGCTTTCTCATAACCGATTATCTAACATCTATAATTGAAAGGGTCCCCAGTTTTATGTTTCAATTATTTTTTTACAAGTCTCTGCAAGAGCACAGTATAGCTTCTCTTGTTGCTTGTGGTACAAACAGGTTCAGTGATAATTTGTAACCGAGAAAAGGTGGAAGAGAATATAATATAGTAGTATTTATACAATTATTTATTAATAAACAAAACGTCGAAGAAATTGTCAGTTTTATTTGTTTACAATTAGATTCTCTAAAAACTGCGGTAAATACCAAAAACATGATTATATTGATTTTCTTATTGTACGGTTAAATTCATTTACAGTTTTCGTTAAGTACGTAGTCATATCACGTATATTTAATATATCACTTTGAGGTAAGGTGTGTCAGTAATAATGCGGAAATCTATGTAACATTTATCCATTGTATATTCTAAATTAGAAACTGTTTTAATTGCGCTATAAAGTATTTCTAATTCCCAAACAATCAATTATCATTGTGCCATTTTTCTTTCGATGTATCTCGCCAGTGATCTATCTCATATGCGACTGCTATTTATTTTTGTTTTCCTTTTGTCTTCGTCGCAATATGCCTGTAGAAAGTAGTCATTTCAAGTGATTCTGTTCCTTAGCAACAGATTCACGATTCTGTACAGTCTTTATAACTGTTTCGACATTTATTTAATCCATTATCAAAAGACAAATATTAGACAACAATCCCTATATGATTTTGTGTGGTGACATGCATCTGATGATTAACCTGATTTATATTCCAAAATAACATGTTTATCATTTTAATATAAAAACAATATTTCCTACAAAAACCAAAAATATAGTCGGAACACTATGTCACGAATGACATAAATATTCATTGTTCTTGAAAAAATTTGAATTGGTCCGAGATACTTAAAATCGAAAAAGGACACATACATCATTTCATGAAGTAACATTTGATTGTTTAAGTAACTAGTTATTGGATGATTTTAGAGGACAGGCTTATAGGTCAATTTACAGGCAAGTACAAATAAGTAACCATTTTTTAGTTAGGATTTTTGAATGTATTCCGAAGTTTAGATTGCTGTTCATGTGTATTATAAAAATGTTAGTTTGTGTAGTATAGGCAGTCTATCTTGTGTATCATATTATTATTACAAGGACCATCTTAACGATTGTACTGTATAAACAACAGTCAATGACACTCTCAAAGGAAACTCTGTATTCCACTCTTTTTATAATATAATCTATCACATACAATTTATGTATAATTTTAATTATTTTTTAAACAAGCAGTATTTATTTTCAGATGCAGTTAAGCCTTGTGTCAGCTATTATTGGGTTTGCTGTTGCAGTATGTAACGGACAGTTAGATCCTTCAGGTAAGATGGAACGATCGAAAAAAAGTGAGAAAAAAATAAAGTTAACCCCGCCACATTCTGTATGTGCCTGTCCCAAGTCAGGAGCCTGTAATTCAGTAGTTGTCGTTTGTTGCTGTGTAACATATTTGTTTTTCGTTCATTATTTTGTACATGAAACGTTTTCTCGTTTGATTTGTTTTACAATTGTCATTTCGGGGCCTTTTATAGCTAACTATGCGGTATGAGCATTGTTCATTGTTGAAGGCCGTACGGTGATCTATGGTTGTTAATTTCTGTGTCATTTGGTCTCTTGTGGAGAGTTGTCTCATTGGCAATCACACCACATCTTCTTATTTTTATAATAACTGGTAAATTATTAAGTCAGGGATATCGCTTTATAAACAACTTAAAACTTTTCCTAATTCTTTCATAGATACACAAATTTAATTTTGAAGTTTGGATGAACCTGTATAATTCTTATTAAACGTGGGGTATCAAATCCTTACTTTTACGGTAATGTTGGGTATAAAGCTCGTAAACTTAGATATGATCCATGTAAATACATTGATCCTTTGAATACACTTTGTCTTAAAAGATATCAATTAATTTAAAATACCGAAGTAAGATCCTTGACTATTGTTATATCGGTACATATATTGATTTTGTTCTTGATATGAAGACTTATGGTCCTACACCATTTCGATATTATAAACTCATATTTGGCATTGCACAGGGTAATTCTTTTCTCAGACTGATCTTAGAAGTCTTTAACCTAAATCCGTTGGATGTGTACCGATTGGTACTCAAGTCTGGGAGAACATGATTTATTTATTAGTTTATTAGTTTTTAACTAGCTTCCAGTAACTGCAAGTATTCTTTGATCGATACTTTGTGTCTATTGTAGTTATTATAGTTTTTTTAGGGGGGGGGTGTATTTTTATGCATCGTTCCGATCTGATAAGTGTCAAGCCAAGGAATAAAACAAAATTCTTTATCAATCTTTTTAATCATGATATTCACTGATTTCATTTCCTTATCTTTTTTTTGTAAATAACAAAATATAAATCTACACGGTGAAAGGTCTCGACAAAACAAATAATAATTTTATGCGACACTAAATTTGATTTATCATAATACATTTACTACAGAAATGCATCGAATTTAAATATGATTAAGTAAATTTATTCTGAGACCAATAGATAAATCAATGTATTGTAGTGCTTTACTGAACAATTGTACCTGTCAATGTCAAACAATATATATTGTATAATGGTAATACATGTACTAGTACATTGAGGTAAATGAATTCACTCTCAAGTATTATTGTGTTTGAAAACGTATAAAGAAATATGGTAAGTGTTTGAGATGAATGATGTTCCTTGAAACTCAAAAGTTCCACATGCGATATACCGGAAAACGTGCATTGCACATGATATGCAGCTGTCATAATTTAAAATTCAAATTATATAACCTTTGAACACCACCCAACAAAACACCAGCAACTCCGATGATACATTTAGATTTCTATTCAACGAAAAAAACAATTTCATCATACATTTTTTCTTTTTTAAAATACAGATAGCAGCGTGGAACTACCAAGTGGATTTTCCTTTATTGGGGGGACAGAAAAAAGACGATTTCGAGAGGACCTTTCAAAAAAGAGTCGTTTAACAACATTTAGAATTATTGATCCGCGACAAAGACGCTATGACACAAGATCCACCTCGGTTAGAAACGGTGATAATGATAGTGAAAACGGCGATAACAAATGGACGAACAGACGAACATTCGTTCTCACGAGAAGGAGACCAAACAGATATGTATCTGCAATCGGTAGTATTTCAAGATATCAACAAAGACCGATGTCAAGTATTACAAGATATCAACAAAGACCGATGTCAAGTTTTTCAAGATACCAACAAAGACCGATTTCAACGTTTAGAACTTTTAGGCCGAATTTAACTTTCGGAAGGCGTTATATTGTACCGTTCCATTGAATGACAATTCGTTAGATTTTGTTTAGTATTAGAATTTTTAATCCGAATATCATAATTGATTGATTGGTGTTTGCTTTACGCCGCCTTAGCGCAAAAAGGCTATATCGCGGCGCCGAATATCATAAATAACATCGACACATTGAGGAAGCAATTCCTTAACTTAAAATAGCATTTAAAGACCAACAAACGGTCTTAAAAATAGACTAGTTTCTGTACAATATATCAGGTCTTAATCGCCTCTTGTCTGAATACAATTTCTTCATAAATCAGTCAACAGAGACTATCTACGATCTGCCATCAACACACATTCACTAAGTGACAAAAATAAATTAAGATATAATAACAAAACACAGAAGAGGTTCCAGACTCAAGACTATCACATGAACATGACCTTCAAATTTGTTAAAAATCGGTCAGTGAAACAATGAAAATCTGTACAGAAAAAGCACTCAACTCTGTGATTCAAGTGTAAAAGATAATATTAATCACAAGTCAGTAAAATTGGTACCGTATATATTATCAAAGCAAAACAATAATAAATGAAACCGTATCAAAGAATTCTCGATAATACCCGATGTTGAAAGCAAGCTTAAATTGCTGCTTATATAGATTAGGGACTTTCCTTTTTGAATTTTTCTCGGAGTTCAGTATTTTTGTGATTTTACTTTTTATAGATCATTTCGTCCTTCACTATAATTTCGGTGGCTGTACGGAGTAGATTTCATGCAGTAGTCGGACTTGGTGGTTGATATATTATATGGTCTATTATGTGTCCGGTATTTTTGGTGAATCCTGTTATCTTTTTTATGTATCATAAACAATTAAGGAAATCACGATCTTGAGCAATGTTCAGACTAAAATATTACTGTACAGAATTTCAAAGCAGAAAAAATAAAAGACACATTTAAGACTTGTTTAAACTATGAATTAACGAATTGAAGATCATCACCAAAATACTGGATTTAGTACACATATAATTTATCAATAACAGTATCAATAAGTCTTTTAAGTAAAACAAAAACTGGACAATTCTTAACTTTGTTTGCTTTAGTGCTTTAGAAATAACATTAACTTAAAAGACTGAGTGTGAAATACCATTTTATGAAATATCTGCTGATGGTATCATATTTCCACCATTAGTTCATCTCCACTGGAAAAATGATCGTACACACAAAACCAAACAACACATGGAACAGATAGCTTGACTCACTTGGCATAGGCACAAAAAGAGACGGGGTTAAACCATTATCACATGCACACAACCCCTTGCTATATAGACCATATGTCGCAGGTAAACACACAAAAACAATGCATTGCATGCATAGTGTATCTATCAACAGGATGACCACCGACTTAATCAAGGAAATAAAAGAACATAAATTGCAAGCTAGAATAGAGTATATTTCTTCTAGTTAATACAATATTCCAGAGCTTGCATTTCCTATCATGATTTCCTTAATGGAGATTTGCTGCTTACAAGGAAGCTATTGAACCTATACAGATGCCATCAAGAGTTGGTTGACCGTTATGGAATATCTGATTCACAGATCACGAATGATATGTTCCAATTGTTGTAACCACAGTCCCGTTCTCTTTTCCACGAATGTGACTTACTGAATTAGTCTAATTACCACCGCGTTTGTATTTACATAAGCAATACCACGGGTGCCACACGTGGAGTAAGACCTGTTTACACTTCCGGAGTAAATGAGATTACCACCCCCTGTTTTTTTAAGGGATCGTGTTGCTCAGTCTTTAGTCTTCTATGTTGTGCTTTATGTGCTGTTGTTTGTCTTTTCGTAGTTTTTCGCTTTTTTGCCATGGCATTGTCAATTTGTTTTTGACTTGCGAGTTTGAATATCCTTTAGGTATCTTTCACCTCTCTTTTGCAAAGCAATATCGATAATTAAAAACAAAATGATTAATCCAGTGTTTTTTACCATTTTTTCTTCTGCACCAAAATATGTAGTATGGAAAAAGAGAATATGTTGAATTCAGAAATGTTGTCTTGCAACAAGAAACCTCAACCTCAACCCCGCCACATTCTTTATGTGCCTGTACCAAGTCAGTAGCCTGTAGTTCAGTGGTTGTCGTTGGTTCACATCTGTCATATTGGTTTTCGTAAATTGTTTTATTATAAATTAGGCCATTAGTTTTCTCAATTGAATTGTTTCATATTTTTCATGTCGGGGCATTTTATAGCCGACTATACGGTATGGGTTTGTATCATTGTTGAAGGCCGCACGGTTGCCTATAATTGCTTACATCCACTTTATTGGAACTTTGAAGGATAGTTGTCTCATTAGCAATCATACCACATCTCCTTATTTTTATATCAATGAGTTGTTACAAGTAGTCTTTAAAGTGCGAAGAGCGTGGCACTTTCTCTACATGTGGCATCGACTTTAACATCCCCATTTCGAGTGAACGTGGTTGTATATCTATACATCCCACTATACCAAAAGGCCGACTTTTAATTATAACAAATAAACTTCGAATATAGACGAGTTAATAGATAAAAGTAAAATCACAAAAATACTGAACTCCGAGGAAAATTATCTTGGTAACCCGGGCGACGTCCCAGCCGGTTTGTTCTTTGTATTAAGTTTTTCTGTCCAATGATGTTATCATTTAAATAAAGGTGATAAACAGTTTTTTTATTTATCCAGGAGTGTTAACTTGAATTTTGTTTGTGTCTTCTTTTTTTTTTTTGGGGGGGGGGGGAGGTCATGCTTTTTTTTCTTTCTTTTGGCTCTTTTCTTTTTGTTGTAAGACTACAAATCTTATTAAAATACATTTTTGTACCCAGGCTTTGCAAGAACGGCCCCTTTTCTGATCCTTGTAAGCAAAGCTTGAACACAGGAATTGTATTTTAATCATATTGTAAGACTACCTGCAATAGTTCATTACCTATGAGTACAACTGCTGCGTGTTTTCTTTTTTTTTAACGAAGTACATAATCATCGCATAATAGTACACAGTATTCATCTTAATTCATTGTATTTGTCTGATGCTTCATTCAGCTGCTTACTCATTATCATACGCAAGTTATAAAAGTATGATGAAACAATACCATTTGCTGGTCTGTTATATTGTTTTATTATTTTGAATTATAACTGTTTAGCTTTGTTGCTTTTAAGAGCCATTGACTGTTTATGTTTTATTTTTTTTTTTTTGGCATTCTTAATATTCCTGTAGAAATTTAAAGGAATAACTAAAATAGAATCACAATTTACACATTTATAGTAACTTTTAGGATGTTACGTCACTTCAGCGAACAGCTCTGTTAGCATTAGATTAGACTGGTACATATCTGTAAACTAATCTGTATGGCGGACTTGTTTGTCTTACAACGATACGTGTAAACAAAGACCCATCTGTCGTCATACTTCGCCTGGTACCAAATCTCGATCTCGCGTTGAAAGGGGATGTTCTTGACGATTGTCTTCTTCTTAATGAAGAATTTCTTGAAGTATTTCTCGCTCTTTGTCGGGAGTTTTGGCGAAAAGGTTGACGTCTCATGGTTGAAAATCTTCTGTTTGACTGCCAGTTGGGTCTCCTGTTAAGAGTTGTCCGACCTATACCAGGGCGGTTCCACGATGGCCGTGTTCTTCCCCTAAAGTCTGGTCTGGGTAACCTTGTTGCAATATTTCTACCAGCTTGCCTCCTATTGGTTCTACCAGAACGGAAGGTGTTTGAATGAGTTAATCTGTTTGTATTTGTTTGGGTTAGTCTGTTTGTATTTCTGTTATTGTCCTGTCCACGTATTCGAAACCCTGATCTTCTCATAGCATTATTCCCTACACTCGATCCTGGCCTGATAATTGCTCGAGCACCAGTTTGACTCCGAGAAGCAGCTTGTCCCAAATTTCGAGTTTGACGGTTATTCCAGGTCCCAACGACGTTATTTCTACGGTTTGTCGACTGTTCACGAGCATTAATTCTACGGGTTGTTGGCTGTTCACGAGAATTAGTTCTACGGTTTGTCGACTGTTCGCGGGAATTAATTCTACGGGTTGTTGACTGTTCACGGGCATTAATTCTACGGTTTGTCGACTGTTCACGGGCATTAATTCTACGGGTTGATGACTGTTCAGGGGCATTAATTCTACGGTTTGTCGACTGTTCACGGGCATTAATTTTACGGGTTGTTGAGGGTCTGCTCGGGTCTGTTCCTGCATCGGAAGATCCGGAATCATCGTTTGAAGATCTTAAGTCTGACAAATCTTTCGAATCTGAAGAATTATAAAGATACACGGGCGGGAATTATAACAATAGGATATCACAAATTATATTTCTTATTTTCAGAGAGCTATATAAATATATAAGTATGTCCATTTAAAGATGTATACCCCTTTAAAGTGGGAGAACTAGTATTAGAACTAGGTAAGAGATATATGAACATATCTGTTGAAGTTGGAGAACTAGTATTAGGAATAGGTTATATTAGAGATATATGTCCCTTTAAGTTTGAGAACTAGTATTGGAACTAGGTAAACATATAAATCCCTTTAAGTTAGAGAACTGGTATTCGGACCAGATAAAACACATATGTCACTTTAATGTGGAGATCTAGTATTAGGACTTGGTAAACACATATGTTCCTTTAAATTTGAGAACAAGCATTAGGACTATGTACATTTGTAAGAGATACATGTTTTTTAAGATAGAAAACTAGTATTAGAACTATGTACATTGTAAGAGATACATGTCTTAAAGTGAGAGAACTAGTATTGGGACTATGTACATTGTAAGAGATACATGTCTTTAAGTTAGAGAACTTGTATTAGGACTAGGTACATTGTAAGAGATGCATGTCTTTAACTTAGAGAACTAGTTTTATGACTAGGTACATTGTTAGAGATGCATGTCTTTAACTTAGAGAACTAGTTTTATGACTAGGTACATTGTTAGAGATACATGTTTTTAAGTTAGAAAACTAGTATTATGACTAGATAAATTATATATGTCCCTTTAAGTGGGAAAACCAGTATAAGGACTAAGTAAAATATCATACATGTACTTGGTGTCAAAACATTACCATAGTAAAATCATATTGAGCGTCTTTGATGCAGCTAATGACATTTGAAATTATCGTTCCTTGCAAAATAGAACACAACACATTTTGAAACGTAACAATCAATAAAAGCCAAATGATAATGTAATAACTGTGAGCAGTAATAATGATATTTCTATTTATCTGATTCCATGAAGATTTTCAAATAAATTTTAAAAAGGCTTCATATAATACATAGATATGTTTAATACAAAACAATCTTTCGTCTTCGACAATAAAATTTACAGTCTCTGCAATGACGTATATACAGTCTCTGCAATGACGTATTTACAGACTCTGCAATGACGTATATGTGTCTATAGTTGGAAATGTTTCATGAAAAAATGTGTATTTTTGAAAATCAAAGCATTGTTCTTCTTTATGTGTAATAAGAATAAAGAGGTAAGCGTTCCTGCCAGTAGTCTGTTTTGGACATTTACATTATCAAAATGATAAATTCCTTTTGTCAATTTGCAGTTAAGAAAATATGCAAGGTTTCAACCCGATCCAGCAAAGTTTACCTGAAGCTGTTTTATTTCGGTATTTTTTTTCTTTCTGGCTCCAATTTAGTTTGTGAGTTTATAGCCTCATTTTACACATCAATGACCTCTAGGTTAGGTGTGTTTTATACTTTACCCAAACATGTATACTGTATAATCACCTTGTGTTTTGACCAGTACTATGACTAGGAAAAGAATAACAAGCTTCATCTTGACAACACTCAACGATCAATTCGTCTCGGTCCTAAAACAAACACATCTACATAATAACGTATATATGTCCAGACCATAAGATCACAAATCATAAAGAAGTTATTATGTATATGAAATGGAAAAGTTTACAAAGCCCTCAATCGTATGAACATTGATTTTAGCTGCTACATAATGGTAAATATAATAATAAATTCAAAATAGTTTTTAGATATGAAGACATAATCTTTCAATCAGTTTGATTGAGGTCTGGAGCTGGCATGTCAGTATCTGCTAGTAGTCCTTTGTTAATTTATGTATCATTGTCATTTTGCTTAATTTTTCTTGTTGCCTATTCTGACATCGGACTCGAACTTCTTTTAAACTGAGTTTTACTGTGCGTATTGCTGTGTGTTTGTTTATTATACATTGGCTAGAGGTATCGGGGGAGGTTTGAGATCCGCAAAACATGTTTAACCCCGCCGCATTTATGTGCCTGTCCCAAGTCAGGAGCCTCTGGCCTTTGTTAGTCTTGTATGTTTTTAAATTCTAGTTTATTATATGTTTTGGAGTTTAGTGTGACGTCCATTTTCATTGAACTAGTACACATTTTTGTTTGGGTCGGCTGAAGTCCGCCTCCGGGTGCGGGATTTTCTCGCTGTGTTGAAGACCCATTTGTGGCCTTCGGCTGTGTTTTGCTCTTTGGTGGGGTTGTTGTCTCTTTGACACATTCCCCATTTACATTCTCAATTTTATAAACTGTCGACCAAATAAAACACCCATGCTATAGACGTAATAGTCTCGTTGGCCGATGGCGCAGATAGTTAACTGTCAGTCCCCGAAGGTGCCATCTGCCAAAAATAAAACTCTCATTTTATAGGAGCTAATAGTATCAATTGTCAATGGCACAGATGGTTAACTGTCGGTCCCGGAAGGTATCATACGCACAGAAATAAAACTCCAATGTTATAGGAGCTGAAAGGCTTACGGGTCGTTGGTGCAGATGGTTATCTGTCCCTCCCGAAGGTACCATCCGCCCAGAAATAAAACCCCCATGCTATAGGAGCTAAAAGTATCATGGATCGGCGGCGCAGAAATTTAATTTTTGGTCCCCACATTCAAGGTACCAACCGCCCAGTCAGTAGCCAGTAGTTAGGTAGTAGTATAAGTTTAATGAAAAATTCTTAATTATAAATATGGAGATGTGATCTGCATGCCAATGAACAACAAACCGCTAGAGACCAAAGGGCAAAGGTATGAACCACTACAGATTAATAAACGGCCTTCATATCCAGCAAAGACCAAAGGACGAGGATGTGAACAACTACAGGTGACCTTATTATTTTATTTTATAATAACAAGACAAACATCGAAAATCTAAAAGCTAATTAAATAAAAAAACAACAAGTGTATATTCACTTTCAAGCCATTATATCTCGGGAGACAGATTTATAAAATTTTTTTTTTTAAATCTTGTTTCCGAAACCATTATTGGAATTTCCATGCATAATTGTACATTCAAATGTTCCCAAACAAAAAAAAATTGAGGAACAAATCATGGTAACAAATGATAACCAAATCGTATGATTTCTTTATGATTTGAAAGTGATAAAATTTTACATGCAAATGAGCTAACAAATCACAACAACAAATCACGAACAAATTGCTTCCACTTCATAAGCAAATCACAAACAAATTGTCAAGAAATTGTTTTGAAATCATTAACAAATCAGAGATCATTGCTTTCCTACTTCAAGCAAATCACAAACAAATTGTTTTCAAATTGTAAAGAAATTGTAAAGAAATTGTTATCAAATCTTTAACAAATCAGAAGTAAATCATATTCCTACCTCAAGCAAATCACAAACAAATTGTTTTCAAATTATGAAGAAATTATAAACAAATTGTTATCAGATCTTTAACAAATCACAAGTAAATCATATATTTCTACCTCAAGCAAATCACAAGCAAATCGTCAATAAATTTGCATCAATCATCAATTCACAGATTAAATCATTTACATCCAGATCTAAAATATTTTCTGCCCGGCCCTGACTACCCCCAAACTTTGAAGTGCATTTGTCTTCATTTTACCTTAGCTACTCCTCTAATTGTAAAAAGGAATACTATCTTTGGTTGCGATGAGGGACGAATCGTTCCCTCTGTTTAGGTTTCTCTTACTTCTCTTCCGAATTTGACTCTAACGAGATTTGACAAAACTTGGGCAACCACGTGTACTAAAAGGATGCATGTCGAATATATATAGGTGATGAGTCTTAGTCTTGGTCCACTTTTTCTAATGTAGCTTTGCCCCTACTGCCCGGGATCTGGCCAGTAAACATGAAAAATTAAAACATGAAACTTGCCAGTGAATTTTGTCTGCTGGCTCGGGAAGCTAGTCTTTAATTGCATGTCTCGATCTGTTTACACATCTTTTACACATTTTTATTTTGAAAATTATTCCTGGCAGTACAAAATTTAATCGAGATACTTAAATGCACAGTTTCTGAATTTAAAAATTTCACACCTTTTACATGTTAAATAGTATTAATTGAATGAGTGAAATTATAAATAAATAACTGATATTCCTTACCACTCTCATCATTGATAGTACAACTCCATATCTTGCAACCTTCTTTGTGCAGTTAATATAGAACAGTATTTGAAATTTGAATTTGATCTTAACCGGAAGTCAGAGAGATAGATAAACAAAGAAAATTTGAATGCATTAACATTTTATTCATTGTAGCAAATCATCAATGAATCACATCATGATAGCTAACAAAGTTAACAAATCATTTTCAAATCATTTCATATGATATTTTAAGTAAACAAATCATAACGAAATCGCATCATTTTAGCTAACTAAGTTAACAAATCTCTTTCAAATCACTTCATACAATATTCTAAGTAAACAAATCATAAAGAAATCACGCAAAAACAGAAACAAATTGCTTACAAATCATACAATTGAAAGAAATCACAAAAAAATCAGTTTTAGGGAATTTGGCAAATTCTGATTTGTTTATAATTTGTTTAATGAATCACAAGCAAATGATACTAACAAATCGCATAATCACGATTTGAAAGAGATTTGAATACGATTTGAAAGCAATTTGTTCATTTATTTTTCTGTTTGGGTTATCATTTTTTATAAATAATAAACACTTTTGAAATAAGCTCAACAATATGATCTTAAATGCCGTTAATTAATTTTTTACTTGAGTGAAAAAGTAGAATATGTTATTCAGAAGTAAACATAGTAATAATGATAATAAAAGTGTATTTATGTAATTCTTAAGATTTTATAGTATACAGACACGGAATATGTTCTATGTAGAAGAGAGAGACATAAAACCAAACTAAGGACTGAGATGTCACCTATTACGAAATAAAAATTGAAAACAAAACGACCCACTCTAAACAATAGAACAAAAAATAAAGAAAATTAAGTTATGATAGCCTTACTCTGTAAGTGCGGTCTCCAGATTATTTCCGTCCACTAGATTCAAATAATGTTATATGGGGTTTTAATTGATATTCAAATTAAAATGTTGTGATTAATGAAAATTCATATTTTTATGTTAAGGTACATGTAATGTTTTTGTAACATTGATGAATAAATGTATCAACCCATATCTTCTAGTCTAGTCACATAGGTAATATTGAATGCACATTAAAAGGCTATATGATATGATTCGTCTGAACATCGAATTTTAAGATTTCAAGAACTTTAGATTTTTATTTTCAACATCAACGTCGGCAATAGAAAGTTTGTAGTTAAAAAGTATATTTCTGCTAGTCTTTTTGTAAGAGCTAGTTCTTTCACTACGGGGACTGAAAAAGGATGTTGTATTAAAACCTCATAGAATTAAAGAGGTAACTTTGTACATTTGTCAAAACCGAGTTTAAAAATGTAAATTATGCCTTCTGTTGTTTATGATTCAAAGGTGTTGGCTCAATGTCCAATGGAAAATAGTTCTTGCATATACATGACTACATTAAATAAAACATAGATATAATAGTTAGGTTCTGAAACTTTTAAAGCTTTTAACTCCCCCAGACAAAGTTGACCTTAGATGAATTATTATTTTAGGTCATTTTGGTCATATGGCTCTTCAAATATTTCAGGTCTTATACATCCTTATACATCCTTGGTTTTCAAATATTCGACTTTGAGCGTTCCTGATGAAGGTAAATCCAGAAAAGCGCTTCGGACGCATGAAATTAGTAAAATGAAGTTTTCAATTTTTACAGCACTGGGTCGATACCGCTGCTGGTGGACTACCATTCCTCAGGGGTATCATCAGGTCAGTAGTCAGTACTTCGGTAGATTAAATCATTTACATCCAGATCTAAAATATTTTCTGCCCGGCCCTGACTACCCCCAAACTTTGAAGTGCATTTGTCTTCATTTTACCTTAGCTACTCCTCTAATTGTAAAAAGGAATACTATCTTTGGTTGCGATGAGGGACGAATCGTTCCCTCTGTTTAGGTTTCTCTTACTTCTCTTCCGAATTTGACTCTAACGAGATTTGACAAAACTTGGGCAACCACGTGTACTAAAAGGATGCATGTCGAATATATATAGGTGATGAGTCTTAGTCTTGGTCCACTTTTTCTAATGTAGCTTTGCCCCTACTGCCCGGGATCTGGCCAGTAAACACTGGGTCGATACCGCTGCTGGTGGACTACCATTCCTCAGGGGTATCATCAGGTCAGTAGTCAGTACTTCGGTAGAACGGAGCGTTCACAGATCCTTGTAAGCAAAGCTGGGACACAGGATCTGCATTTTAATCAGATTGTAAGACTACCTGCAATAGTTCAATACCTACAACTGTTGCGTGTTCTCTTTTTTATTGTAAGTACACAATCATCGCATACTAGTACAAAGCTTTCAACTTGTTTCATTGTATTTGTTTGGTGCTTAATGCAGCTGTTTACTCATTACCATACGCATATCAATAAAAGTATGATGAAACAATACTATTTGCTGGTCTGCTATTTTGTTTTGTATTTTGGGTAAGAACTGTATAGTTTTGCTGATTGTAAGAGCTATTTACTGTTGAAATGAAAGTCCATTGTATGATTGGCTTACACTGAAGTTTGTTTTTGCATTCTCAATATTCCTTGAATTTATAGGGATAACTAAAATATAAACACAATTTACACATTTATAGTAACTTTTCAGATTTAATATCATTTCAGTGGACAGCTCTGTTAGGATTAGACTGGACTGGTACATATCTGTAAACTAATCTGTACGGAGGACTTGTTTGTCTTACCACGATACGTCTGAACAAAGACCCATCTGTCGTCACCCTTCGCCTGGAACCAAATCTCGATCTCGCGTTTAAAGGTGAAGTTCTTGACGATTGTCTTCTTCTTAATGAAGAATCGACAAATTGTCTCGAATTTCTTGGAGTATTCTCCCTCATAGCAGTATTCCTTATACTCGATCCTGGCCTGATAATTGGCCGATTACCAGTTTGACTCCGAAATCTAGTTTGTCCCAAATTTTGAGTTTGACGATTGTTCCAGGCCCCAACGACGTTATTTCTACGGTTTGTCCACTGTCCACGGGCATTAAATCTACGGGTTGTTGCGAGTCTACTCTGGTTTGTTGCTTCATCGGAAGATCTGGAATCATCGTTGGAAGGTCTAAAGTCTTGCAAATCATTCGAATCTGAAGAATTATAAAGATAAAGGGCGCGAATTATAATAATAGGATATCCAACATAATGTTTCCCACTTTCAGAGAGCTATATATATATATTAGTATGTCCATTTGAAAGATTTATACCCCTTTCAAGTTTGAGATTTTGTATCATAACTAGGTAAGAGATATATGTACATGTTTGTTGAAGCTGGAGAACTAGTATTAGGAATAGGTTATAGTAGAGATATATGTCCCTTTATGCTGGGGAATTAGTATTGGAACTAGGTAAAATATAAATTTCCCTTTAAGTAGAACTAGTATTGGGACTAGATAAAAGATATATGTCCCTTTCAGACGGAGAACTAGTATTAGGACTAGATACATTACAGTTGTCCCTTTAAGTTGGAGAACCAGTATTAGGACTAGATAAGATATCATGCATGTCCCTTTAAGTTGCAGAACAAGTATTAGGACTAAGTAAAGATCATACATGTTCCTTTATGTTGGAAAACTATAGTCATGGTAAAATCCTATTGAACGTCTTTGCTGTAGATCATTTTAAATTTTCGTTCCTTGCAGACTGGCACATAACACGTTTGGAAACGTAACATTCCATAACAGCCACAAGAATTAAATAATATGTGCAAATACTCTGGAGCAGTAAGAATAATATTTCTATTTATCTGACTCCATAAAGAATTCCAAATAGATATTAGAGGCAACATATAATACATAGATGTGTTTAATACAAAAAAAAAAATCTTTCGTCTCCGTCAATAAACTTTACAGCCTCTGCAATGACGTACATATCTTACATGGGTCTATTGTTTTAAATGTTTCATGAAAAAAAGTATGTATTAAAAAATCTTTGCAATGTTCTTTTTTATTTGTAATAAAAATAAGGAGTTTATTAAGTCTTCCTGGCAGAATTTTTCTTTTGGATTTTTTCACTATTCAAATGATATATTCCTAATGTAAATTTTCAGTTAGAAATTATGCAAGGTTGCAACTCAATCCAGCAAGATTGCCTGAAGCTATTTTTTGTCAGCCATTTTTTCCTTCTGGCTTTAATTCATTTAGTGAGTTAATCACCTCAGTTTACACATCAATGGCCTCTAGTGAAGGTGTGTTTTATACTATAACCCAAACATGTACACTGTATAATCACCTTGTGTTTTGACCAGTCCTATAACTAGGAAAAGAATCACAAGCTTCATCTTGATATCTCACAACGACTAATTCTGCTCAGTCCTAAAACAAACACATCTACATAAAAACATATATATGTCCAACTCATAAGATCATAATTTATAAAGAAGTAATTATGTGAATGAAATGAAAAAGTTTAAAAAAAACCTCAATCGTATGGACATTGATTTCAGCTCCTACATAAATGTTGATATAAAAATAAATCCAAATTGTTTTTAGATAGAAATAAACTGTCGACTAAATAAAACTGATAGTCTCATGGGTCGGTGGCTCCGATAGTAAACTGTCAGTCCTCGAAGGTACCATATGTCCACAGATAAACTCTCATGTTATAGGAGCTAATAGTCTCATTGGTCAGTGGCGCAGATGGTTAACTGTCGGCCCCGAAGGTACCATCTACCCAAAAATAAAACTCCCATGTTATAGGATCTAATAGGCTTGTGGATCGGGGGCGCATAACTGTCGGTCCCCACATCAAAGGTACCAACTGACCAGTCAGTAGCAAGTACGTAGTTAGGTAGTAGTATAGTTTTAATGAAACATTCTTAATTGTAAATTTTCCATTCATACTTCATGTAAATGTATTTAAAATAATATTCAACATCTACGGAGGATGGAGATAACCTTAGTTGGATATACCTGTTCTATTTCATATAAACATATGGAGATGTGGTCTGAATGCCAATGACACAACTATCCACCAGAGACCAAAGGGCAAAGGTATGAACAACTACAGACTATTGTTCGGCCTTCATATCCAACAGAGACCAAAGGACGAGAATGTGAACAACTACAGGTGACTTTATTTTTTTGTATTCTATAATAACAAGACAAACATCAAAAATCGAAAAGCTAATTAAATCAAAGAACAACACGTGTATATCTACTTTCAAGCTATTATGTCTCGGGAGACACATTTATAAAAAATGAAAACAACACGTTATAAATTCTGGATTGACCTTCATCAGGAACGCTCAAAGCCGAATATTTGAAAGGCAAGGATGTGTAAGAACCGAAACAGTTGAAGAGCTATATAATAAAAAAGGACCTAAAATAATAGCCAAGTCCTTCTAAGGCCAATTTTGTCTGAGGGAGTTGAAACCTTAGTTTCTTTATAAAAGTTGTTTTTTTAATCGTGCTTCCGAAACCCTTGTTAGAATTTCCATGCATAACTGTACATTCCAATTTTATTATCTTTTTTTGAATAACAAATACGTTTGAACTAAGCTTATCAAAAGGATCTTAAACGACGTTAATTGTGTTTTACTAAAGAAGTCATTACGTTGTAACTATAGTAAAAATAATAATAAGAGTGTAATTATGTAATTCTAAAGAATTTGTAGAATTTGTACACGGAATATGTTCTGTTTAGAAGAGAGAGACATAAAACTAAACTAAGGACTGAGATGTCACCAATTACAAAATAAAAATTGAGAACAAAACGACTCCACTCTAAACAAAAGATAAAAGAATAAAGAAAATTAAGTTATGATAGCCTTACTCTGTAAGTGCGGTCTCCAGATTATTTCCGTCCACTAGATTCTAATAATGTTATATGGGATTTTAATTGGTATTCAAATTGAAATGTTTTGATTGATGGAAATTCAAATGTTATGTTTAGATACATGTAATGTTTTTGTAACATTGATAAATAAATGTATCAACCCATATCTTCAAGTCTAGTCACATAGATAATATTGCATGTACATTTAAAGGCTATATGATATAATACATGCATACAAATATTAAACGAATTTGCATATGTTTATATTTAATATTGTAGCAATGATCTCATCATCGATACCAGGATTAAAATTTTCATTCGCAAGACGCGAGTTTTGTCTACAAAAGATTCATCAGTGACGCTCGAATCAAAACAGTTAAAAAGGCCAAATAAAGTACGAAGTTCATGAGCATTTAGGACTCAAACTTCCGAAAGGTTTTGCAAAATACAGCTTAGGTTATTTATTCCTAGGGTAGAAAATCTCAGTATTTCGAAAAATTACAAAAATTTGTTAACAGCTAATTTAAAATTATGACCATAGCCATGATTATACATTTCAATACAGAAGTGATTACTACTGGGCTGGGAATACACTCGGGGAGGAAAGTTTAACTTGCACCATCAGTGGCATCGACACAGTGGATGTAAATAAAATTATCATAGATACCAGGATTAAAATAATGTACCCCAGACACGTGTTTCGTCTACACTTTAAATTAATAAATGTGTTTTATTTCATGAAGAGTTCAACCTGAGGTACAATTTTTATCTTAATAACAGGTTGCTGGCCATTAGATGGACAAATGAATTCAGGCAAAAAATCTATGTTTTGAAAATTCTCTTCTTTAATGTCTGAAGATTTCTGATATTCATAAAATTCTTAAACATCACAACAAATATACAGGTACTTTCAAATTTTGATTCTGAATAAATGATTCAATGCTTTTATTATTTCGTGTATATTATTTGGGTAAAAAATCAAGGAGGAAAACTATATTATCACTTCCTATATAATGGTATCAATCATAAAACTATCATATATGTTTCCTCTATAGGTTTGAGTTCTTTTTCCTTTTTTATGATTCAAACAAATTTTCCTATAAAGGACAGATGCTTGTATTGGCATGTATATAAGCTGCATCAGGTTACCGAACTTGTAAAGATGCTTGGAATGCTACATGACTGATATACAAGTGAGGGGTTTAGTTAGCTATAAAACCAGGTTTAATCCACTATTTTCTATATGAGGAAATGCCTGTACCAAGTCAGGAATATGACAGTTGTTTTCCATTCGTTTGTTGTATTTGAGCTTTTGATTTTGCCATTTGGTAAAGGACTTTCCGTTTTGAATTTTCCTTGGAGTTCGATATCTTTGTTATTTTACTTTTGATTTACTTTTATTAATCAAAGATAGATAATATATAGAAGATATATTAAAAAAAACCCATCAAAGATACCAGGCTTTTAATATTTTTGTGCGCCAGACGCGCATTTCGTCTAAAAAAAGAAAACTTTCAACTGCATTGGTATCGCCCTAGTGGTTGTAATGTTGTTTACAGGAGTGAATCAGTGGTTTGTTTGTCAACTCAAGGATTTTCATAAAGAAAGGACCAATGACAGCTGAGCCGCTATGCCAAAAAATGACAGGTAAATAAAACAGTTGTTTCAAACTTCATGTATATAAAAAGTATATTTCTGCTTTTTGCACGTGTGGGTTCTTTCATAAAGGGGGCTCAAATAGATGTTGTAGATATGTTAGCCTTCCCCATGATGTAATCATTTAGACCAAGAGGGTATGCAGCTTAGGTTTTTTTTATTCAGGAGAGTTCACATTTAATCTGTTTGTACATTGTATTTTGTTTATTTGTGTTTTTTGTGTGTTATTTTTTTGTTCGTTTTTTAAGGGGGGGAGGGGGTACAACCTTCTTTTATTGGCTTACCATCATTCTGTTGTAATACTAACTGCAATTGTTGCAATACCTACGAGTACAATTGCAGAGTATTTTCACTTATTTACTGTAAGTACATAATCATCGCGTAACAGTACACAGCGTTCATATTATTTCATTGTATTTGTTTGATGCTTAATTCAGCTGCCTACACATTATTATACGTAAATAAACTCACCAAACATACCAGGTTTGAAATTTTGTACGCCAGACTTGGGTTTCGTCATCAAAAGACATATAAGTGACGCTTGAACCAAAAGTTCAAACAGGCCAAATAAAGTACGAAGTTGCAGAGCATTGAGGACCCAAAATTTCGAAAGGTTTTATGATGAAACAATACATTTGCTGATCTGTTTTATAGTTTCGTACTTTGAATAAGAACTGTTTAGTTTGTTGCTTTTTTGAGACATTAACGTTTTCAAATGAAAGGGCATTGTGTCTCTGGCATATATTGGGGTTACTTTGTTTGCATTCCGAATATTTCTGTAGGATAATAAAGGAATAACTAAGATATAAGCACACTTTTTTTTTTTATAGTAGCTTTTAAAATTCACATTACTGAATTTACTTCAGTTCAGCGTAGAGCTCTGTTAGCATAGGACTAGACTGGCACATATTTGAAAATTGATCTCAATGGCGGACTGGTTTGTCTTACCACGATACGTATGGAATCAAATCTCGATCTCTTCTTCAAATGGGATGTTCTAGACGATAATCTTCTTAATAAAGAGTTGACAAATTGTCTCGAATTTCTTGGAGTATTCCTCCTCATAGCAGTATTCCATAAAGTCGATTCTGGCCTGATAATTGTCCAAGCACCAGTTTGACCCATAATACCAGATTGTCTGCTCAAGCCTATTGCTTCATCGGAAGATCCGGAAATATCTGAGAAGTTGTTTGAATCGTTTGAGTCACTCGAATCTGTAAAATCTGATAAATAGAATCAGATGTGTTAAAGTATTGAATGATAATAAAACATATGGAATATATAAGTATATCAAATTGAAAGATGTATACCCCTTCTAAGTTGGAAAACTAGTATAAGAACTAGCTAAGAGATACATGTCCCATTAAGTTGGAGAACTAGATAATAAGACTAGGTGAGAGATATATCTCTTCAAGTTGAAGAACTAATATTAGAAGTAGGTAAGATATATAAGTATTTTAAGTTTAAGAACTAGTATAAGGACTAGGTAATAGATATATGTCTTCAAGTTGGATTACTTATATAAGGAGCAGACAAGAGATATATGTCTTTAAGTTGGAAAACTATTACAAGGACTAGGTAAGAAATACATGTCTTTTAAGTTGGAGAACTAGTATTAGGGCTAGGAAGAAGATGTATGTCCCTTTAAGTTAAAGAACTAGTATTAGAACTAGGTAAAAGATACATGTCCCTGTAAGTTCGGGAACCAATTTTGCCTAAAGCTGTTTTAATATGGCCGTTTTTAGTCGCCACAACTTACACATCAGTTACATCTAGAAATAATATTTTTAATACTATAACCCATAAATGTATGTACACTGTATAATCACCTTGAGTTTTGACCAGTCCTATAACCAGAAACAGAATAAAAGACTTCATCTTGACAACTCTCATCGACCAATTCTTCTCAGTCCTGAAACAAACACGTCTACATAGACAATATACATGTCCAGACCATAAGATCATAAATCAGAAAGAAGTTATAATGCACGTGAAATTAAAAAAAGTTTACAAACCCTAATCGAATGGACATTGCTTTAAGCTCCTACATAAAGGTTGATATAAAAATAATCCAAATAACTTTTAGATAGAAATAAACTGTCGACCAAATTAAACTCCAGTGCTAGGGACCTTATATTCTTATGGTTCGGTTGTGCAGAAGGTTAACTATCGGTCCCCGAAGGTACCATCCGCCCAGAAAAAAACCACCCATGATATATAAGCTAAAAGGCTCATGGGTCATTAGCGCAGATGGTTAGCTGTCAGTCCTCAAAGGTACAGTCTGCCCAAAAAAAAAACTCCCATGTTACAGGAGCTAATAGGCTCATGGGCCAGTGCCGCAGATGATTAACTGTTGGTCCCGAAGGTACTATCCGACTAGAAATAAATCTCCCGTGTTATAGGAGGTGATTGTCCCATGGGTCGGTGGCGCTGATTTTTAACGTTCGGTCCCCACATTAAAGGTACCAACCGCCCAGTCAGTAGCCAGTGGTTAGGTAGTAGTATAATAAAAATGAAACAATCTTAATGGTAATTTTTCCATTCAAAATTGATGGCAAGATTGCAAATGACACAACTATCCACCTGAGACCAAAGGGCTAAGGTATGGACATCTACATGTTACTTTACGGCCTTCACATCCAGCAAAGACCAAATGACGAGGGTGTGAACAACTACAGGTCACTGTATGGTGTTCCTCTGGTTTTGGTTTGTTTTTTCGTTGTTTTATCATTTCTTATTATATATCAACAAGACGGACATCAAAATTCTAAAAGCTAATCATTTAGAAAAACACTAAGTGTATATTTACTTGCAAGCTATCATTTCTCGGAAAACAGATTTATAAAAGTTCTTTTTTTCAAATCTTGTTTCAAAAACCATTATTGGAATTTACATGCATAATTGTACATTCCAATATTATTATCTTTTTTAAATAATCAATATATTAAAACTAAGATCAACAAAATGATCTTAAATGTCTTTAATTCTTTTTACTTCAGTGAAAAAGTAGAATATTGTATTGGATAAAATCATTTAGTTGTTAATTTAGTGAGAAGAATTATAAAAATGCAATGATGTAATTCTGAAAATTTTATAGTACAAACAGAATATGATCTGTTCAGAAAAGAGAGACATAAACCAAGACAAAGATCTGTGATGTCACCAATAAAAAACAACCCCCATACACCCCCAAAAAGAACACAAAATAAAGAAAATTAAGTTACGATAGCCTTACTCTGTGACTGAAGTCTCCAAATTGTTTCCGTCCACTAGATTATAATAATGTCATTTTGCGTTTTTAACTGATTCAAATTGAAATGTTTGATTGATGAAAATTGATATTTTTATGTTTAAATACATGTAATGTTTTTGTAACATTGATGAATAATTGCGTCAACACTTACCTTCCCGTCTAGTCGCATACGTAATAATGCATACAAATTTAAAGGCATTGTATAATTGTTATATAATGCATGCCTACAAAAATTATAAGAATTTGCATATGTTTAGATTTATGTTTTAGCAAATTAGTTCAATAAATGTGTTTTATTTCATGAAGAGTTCAGCATGAGCTATATCTTTCTTAATAACAGGTTGCTTAAGCCTTTCCATCAGGTGGACAAATGAATGCAAACAAAACTCTATGTTTTGCAAATTATCTTCTTCAATGTCTGAGCATTACTGACATTCATATAGTTTTTGAACATCACAGCACATGTACAGGTACTTTCAGATTTTGATTCTTAATAGAAAGTAAAATAACAAAAAAGCGACCTCTAAGGAAAATTCAAAACGGAAAGTCCTTTATAAAATGGCAAAATCAAATGCTCAAACACACCAAACGAATGGAAAACAAATGTCATATTCCGACTTGGTACAGGCATTTTCTTATGTAAAAAATGGTGGATTACACCTGGGTTTATAGCTAGCTAAACCTCTCACTTGGATGACAGTCATATAGCAATCCATTATATTGACACCTGCGTGTGAGCAAAACAAACAGACATAATAGGTAAAAATGTCAAAAATTGGGGTACAGCAGTCAACATTGTGTTATAAACTTAATGACTATAAAAACAAATAACTATTTAAACAAAGACAAACAAAATGGCATATAGACACTCTATAGACGAAGTACATAAGCACAAATGAAAGACAAGAATACAAAATTTACCATAGCACAATAACACAATAGCGGGATGTATAAATACCCGTGTAAATTATACAATGTTTTCATTAGTTCGTGTATAAAGTTATGGTAAAAATGAAGAAGGAAAATGATATATAGCTTCATATATAGTGGTATCCACTATAAACCATCATCTATGTTTCATCTATAGGTTTGATTTGTTTCCTTTTGTTTTTTTTTGTTTTTTTGTTTTTTTTCTTATTCAAATACATTTTCCTATATTCTATATAATTATTAAATTGTTGGACTAATCTACCAATAGATTTGGTGTTATGATTTAATTCCTGTTAGGTTTTAACTTTTTAAATCTTTATTAGTTCCTTTGAAAATACTGTCCTAAAAATGTTAAGCATGTTTACTTCTTCAAAACATCAAACAAGATCAGAGTATGATTTAACGCTTCCCTTTTTATTCTTTTATTTGTAGAACACCACTACTGTTATAAAGAGTAGAAGTTTAACATCGATTACACGAAATTTCATAATTCATCTTAAAAGATGAAAAATATACTTTTTTTATAAATCAGTAATAGCTTTGACTTATTTATAATTTCTGCAACATCAATAACGTACTAAATTGATGAAAGGGTGTATAACAATTGTGTTTACATTAAACATATTGTTGATATCAATAGAATTTATTATTCAGCATAAATTCGGTTATTAGTGTAAGCATAGATTACTTGTGTAATTAGCCGTTTCACCTCTATTAAATGTAGGCTATCAGATGTATGTTTGTCAATGCGCAATATGACTGCGCACGCGATCTTTTTCAGTTCGACATTTGAAAGAAACAGACGGAATATTATTTGGTGATTGAAAGAAAATTATCTTGGTGATTAAAAAGATATAGGATCCACAGTGTGCAGGTTTTGTACCACTTTTCTAACATTGGAACTCAGGTGGTATAATTAGTCTCCTGCAATAATTGTGGGATATTTAATAGAATATCAGTGTTTTATAGCAAATTAATTACAATTGATTGCTTATTTTGCTTATTTTTACATGTCATTATACTTTTACTATCCGGAGGTAGCGATTGGTGTTTATTATGTATAAGAATTGAGCTATTAAAAAGTGTTTACGTACTGTTACATAGAGATATACACGTTTTATTCTATTTCATTTCAACGCTTGACACCGATCTGCAAATTTCACTCCGGCGGTCACAGCTTAATGCTAATTGAAAGTTACGCATGTTCAACATAATTATGTTTTATCTTTTCATCTGTGCATCACCATTACCTTAATTGTAAGAATCATTATGTATGCACAAGCAACAATTTGTTAGCTGTCTTATCATCAGTATAGATGTTATTATTATCATTATAGATGTTATTGTCATCATTATAGATGTTATTGTCATCATTATAGATGGATTGGGTTGGGTTTTTTTTTTGTTTTTTTTTTTTATCATATATAATACATGTGATTTAAATATCGTCTAGTATTCTGTTAAATTACCACTGTGTCCGCTCAATTACTTTTACCGATTTTATAATATAAAACAGCACATAGCACCTCACTTGCGCTATTTTTAACAGCATCCTGCCACCGCCTAGTCATTCGGTACAGATTGTTTAGTCAGCCTCCTCGCTCGTGTAACCCAGAATATTTTATTGTTATCGGGTGCTGACCGACATTTGTGCAACGGTATCACTTCACGTAGACAAAAATATTTCATTCCTGACAGATAAATGTTTAATCTGGTTGGTTATAGTTGTCAATGAACTTTTAAAGGTCGCTAAGTGACAAATTCTTTATTTATAGTACAAAGCAATATTCTGTTTTGGTTGTTCAACTATATTCTTATAGTTGTTTGGCACTAAGATGAATACAAGAAGGTCATCCAAAAAATGAAAAGCCACAGCAACATTCGAAGCTGCATCAAGACAAGAGGAAACACAACTTCAACCAGGTTCAGTACCAGCATCCAACGATCCCTCAACTTCAGGAGGATGTTATTTTGATGTACTAAATCGACCAGGTAATTCAAATCTCACGCAAACAACTAGTTACTCTCCTAGTCTTGACTATGATATAACAATTCATGTTAGTCAGAACTTAAAACAAAAACAAAAAATCAAACGGGCGAGTATGTCGATTTTGCTCAACTTATGAACAACTCTGTAATTGATAATGACCAGCAAAAAATTTCATATGAACAGGGGAAACTTGTTATTAAACCAGTTTTGAATCATACAAAAGTAACAAACAAAGAAATAGCACTTGAATATAAAGATATTGTTGCTGAGATACTATTGCAGTGGAATTAAGTTCGATATAAAATTCGACGGTTTGGGACTTGGCATTCGACGACTATGTTATAGCAATATCATTATATCCTCAACCGATTTGGCTGTCACTAAAACGAATATTCTGTTATCTACGTTTAATGTTTACAATATATACTTGATAGTCCTTGTACAACTGTTCACATTATTTAACACAAATTTCGATGTTTTTCTTTCGAATACAAAACCTTACTAATTAGATACGTTACAGTCTGAGATAATAAATTCCTAACGTAATGTATCTACAAGCTGCGATGCCGACTACCATTTGAACTTTTCTTGACCTTAGAGATGATCTTTATAAAATGTAAGGAAACCGTTAACTCTCTGAGATTGTAAATTCATGTCAACAATTTGCAGACGATAATCTTTTCAAAGATTAAAACTTTTGGTGATCAAGGTAAAAGTATCTTGCAATTGAAAATAGTGTACAAACGATCTCTTCTCTAATGATTAATACTAAAAATTAAAAAAAAAAATATAATTATTCTAACAAATGAACTAAATTACACCGTATGATGGAGCCAAAGGAACATCGCCGTCTAAAAAAGGAAAATTAACAATAGAGAATGAAAAATCGGCTCTTTTGTCGTAAATTTTAATTGGAGTTTCCCTTTAGAAATTGAAATGTCTTAATCTAGAAAAGGACAACTGCTGCTGTTTATGTTAGATTTATTTAAAGAAGTTCCTTAGGTAAATTTCGGCAGTATATTTAAAGAACTGTGGATTATTTAACGAAAAAATATCATCAAGATAATGGTAGGTATTGTTGAATGAGTCATAAACTGTGATTCATAGCAATACAGGAATAAATCTGCTATTAAAGGGGCGCAATTAGTGCCCATAGGAATACCTACTACCTGTCAATACACTTTATCGCCGAAACGTACATATATGTTGTCCAGGAGAAAACTTAAGGCTTCAATCATATCTTCACATTTCCAGTAAGTGTATCTAGCATACATTCCTTTTTCGTTACAGAAGGCGAGTTACAGCAAATAAATTTGCATTGAGATTTTTCAAAAGACCATTTAATTAAATATGAAAACTTTTTTTTGATAAGATTGTGTGAAAGTGCTGCCATATTTGTGTGCTAAACTGGGAGAAGTAGATTCTTCTTTTGCTATGATATATTTCCTGTGTTTGGAAGTTAAACATTGTTTAGAACAAATTCATTTAAAGACAATGGTGGACTGGCGAAATATCAAAAGAGAGGCGAATGATACCAAAGTAACACTCAAACTCATAAGTCGAAAATAAACTGACAACGCTTTGGCAAAAAAAAAGAGAAAAAGACCAAAAGGTAAACAACAGTATACAAAACACAACATAAAAAATAAAGACTGAGCAACACGAACCCCACCAAAAACTGGGGGTGATCTCAGTTGCTCTGGAAGAGGATGCAGATCCTGCACATTATCTTTATAGTATATTTTGTCGTTTTTCATGTTAACTGATTGACTAAAATGAACTAAGTAGAAAAATCCGAGTGAAAAGGTGCGTTTTCATCATTGCTATTTAGTTCTTTTTGATTTTTCATCATAATAGCAAATAAACTCAATATAGATACCAGGATTGAAATTTTGTATGCCAGACGCGTTTTTCATCTACAAAAGACTCCCCAATGACCTCGATTCAAAAAGTTAAAAAGGCAGAATAAAGTACATAGATGAAGAGTATTGATGACTAAAAATTCTAAAAAGTTTTGCTAAATGATGTGAATTGATGATTTAAAATTATAATTTCGAATATATGTTTTTCTACAACTTTGTTAAACAAATATGATAATCCACGATTAGGGCCTTCATA